GGGGGGGAGGGAGGGAGACTGAAGCACTCACCCTGAAAATCAAGGGCCCTGGAAGCTCTCAAATTCTTGATGATTATCTGGTGCAATATCAGCCTTATTTTTGTGCATTTGATGACATTTCAAGAAACTGCTTAATCATCATACTTTGCAATTGGGCGTGATGGTCTGAATATTTATTCAGATTTTACGATTTGTGAAGTCGCAGTGCGAAATATTACATCTTATTACAATCCTAATCATGAAAGACTGAAAGACTAATAAGAAACTAAACTTAGAATGCGAGCGAGCGATAAAGTAGGACCAAATGTTATGGTGAAAAGAAAATGGGGCATATTTCCTAAGGAAATGCATGGACACTTATTTTAAAAATGCACAAAATTATGGGTTTTCAGTCGTAAAAAATGGAGGGGGCGGAAGGATAATCCCCCTTACGTTGCCCCCCCCCCGTTCCTATCGCGGCCAGTGCCTTTACTGCAACTGAAGAAGAAGAGCGCGTTAACTTTGGTATCACAGTCTGTACTTTGTACTTAAATTGACATGTCCGTGGCGGAGTAACTTGTATGCAGGCTTGTAGCTCGCTATTGTATATTAATTTGACTGAGTCGACACATTCTAAGGAAAGTGGGTGAATTACCATTGCTCGTCAATAGGGGGCAATATAATATATATCATACCCGTAGACAGAAGTACTCTAAAATAAAGATAAATTCAACTAAACATAATCAAATATTACATTATCGATTCAAACTCATTTTAGTTCCTCTAAGTGGCACTATTTTGACGTCAAAGCAAAAGTAACAACAAACTTGATACATGAAATCGCATCTCCAATAAATTATTCATACCCTATTAAAATGTGAAAACCAAATTGGGGGTTGTATATGCGTACGTGCATCAATTTTGAGGTTTAACGAATGTCTATGAGCTAAATCTAAGTCAATAATGGCTAAAAATTGATTTCATATTGGTAAGAATAGTATCAGCAACACGCGCAAAATTTCGAAATGATAAAAAAATTCTGAAAACGTGTAGTGACCAATTTGAAATGTTTACGCACGTGTACGCGTCCACCAAAGGCGTCCGCAAAAGGTGTGACCAAAATATTACCCAAGACGTCAAGTTTTCAGAAACGACAATGTATGACGGAACTATGGTTAATATTAGAAATCTACCACAATGACCCCTAGATGACGTCACTTATCTGTAATCAAACAAATATCTTCGTTAGGATCAATAATCATGCATAGGACTCATGTGATATTAATTTCATTGTCATTAACCATGTCACTCATGAGATCCGCATGAGATATGAAGCGAACAAAATCCATACAAAAAGAAAGGGAAAAAAGAAGAAGAAAAACGAAATTGATTCTGACAAAATCACTAGGTGCTCTGCCATGATAAGCGGCAGATCACCGCAATATGGTCAATAATAGGAATTAACAAAATGGCGCCTAGATGACGTCACACAACATTAGTCGAATAAATCTCTTCGTGAGGATCAATAATCATGCATCATGGCACATGTCATGTACATGTCATTGTCATTAACCATGTTATTCATGATATTCTGACAAAATCAAGGTGCTCTGCCACGCTATGCGGCAGAGCACCTAATCAATGAGATTGTAAAAAAGGATTATCGCTGATAACTAGTTTGCCTTTGCATCTGGAGAGTGCAGTATTAATCTTGAAAGGAGATTTACAATTTTGCATATGAATTGTTGCAATGAAATAAAAATAGAGTATCAACGTTTGGGGTAGCTATTGTGATGGTAATATAACTTGGGATATTATGTCCTGGGCCCCGTCTTATAAAGAGTTACGATTGATCCAAATCAATCGTAAGTTCTCCAATCAATCGCAAGTTTGCAGTGTCCTATTTCTTATGTACATAGTTGCGATTGATATTGACTCTTTGTAATACGGGGCACTGGATTACATAAACCCTTTTCTTACTGGGGAAACTATATATTGCTTGCTTTTGTACAAGTTACGTTGATTTTCCTAGATACTCATTCACAAAAGAATGATTTAGTGGTACATGAGCATAATTTGCTTAATCTAAAAGGCACATAATGCGTTGACTTGATGGTGTATATATTATTTTATTCATTTTCATATACTATTTTATCTTTAAGTTTGTATAACTTTATGTTTTCCACTTGCATGTAAAAACAAGATGAATCCCCATTATCATGATTATGTAAATAACGATAATACATGTAGATTTTGGTAGATAATAACCCATGACTAGTAATAACGTTTATTTGTTATACAAATTAATATTATTTTAGTAACATAAAAGATAACACTGTTCTCAACGTTTTAGCGCAGTAATGAAGCTATCGATATGACGTCTCGTGTGCAGCGGGCATACTTTTTGCAAAATTAAAAAAATAATCGTTTTTTTCTTTTAATCTACCATTGCTGTTTGATAAAGCGTTTTGCGGTTTATTTAATTAATTATTGTTTTGGTGAGGTACGCTCACAATTTAATTTTAATATCATATTCGGTGGAAACACTAAACTCGAACACAAACTCAGTGAAGGACTACTGCGCACTTTAATAAGAAATTAAAAAAACAGACAAAAAGGAATCGCAGACAGTCAAACGGAGAGATTAAAGGATCTAGGTCTGTGATCAAATTAAAAAAAAAAAATAATTTAGCGGTCGTAATGAAATCGGATATACTACACATTTAACTTTTATAAGCAGATAAGTGTAGAGTCAGTTAAATGGGATTGTAACACAAACTTGATAATAATTTGAAAATGTAGCTTAGCATTTATTCACATGAAATACAACATGAATATTTAGATGAATACAAGGACTATGCATAAAATGCATTGTCGCTCTCTTCCCCCCCCCCCCCTCCACACACAAATAATAATTTCTCTTTAAAAAAAAAAAGTATTTCCTTCCTCGTATGGAGAGCTTACTGTATTACATCTTCACATTCCCTTTACCCCCCCCCCCCTCCCCCCCCACACACAGAAGCATATATTCTCTATCTCTCTCTCTTTAAGTATTTCCTTTCTCGTATGGAGAGCTTACTGTATTGCATCTTGCAATCCCGTTAATTAGCCCGTCCCACCGATTTTTTTCTCCGTTTACTTGCCTTAATTTCACCTTGGTATTAATTATCGTATACAGCCCCCCCCCCCTCTGTCTGTCTCCCTCCCCCTTTCCCTCTCTATCTCTCTCTCTTTCTCTTTTCCCATGTCTGTATGTCTCCCTTTTTCTCTCACTTTCTCTAGTTTTAATTATTTTCTACCTCTCTTCCCTTCTATCTTTTCAACTCCCTAACACTCAAAAACATACCGCGGTTAATTGTTGAAATTCACACCAAATAACATTTAATGGTATTTTTCAACACGTTTGTAGAAACTTTGCAAAATGCAATGGCAAATATTCATGAACATGTGAAAGGAACGCAAATTCTATGAATACAAATACAATTTCAGATGTAATAACGCAATAAATATAATGAACTTGAATAATTTCTTAATTGCTACTCACTTTCAAGCTAATATACAGGAATTATCTACAATACAATGTAAAACATCTTTCAAAATATGAATTAAAATTATTTTTAGATTTTTTGGACAAAGCAAAAAGCCAATTACATTCCTAAAATATTACATTACAGTGTATTTACATTTTCACTCCATAATAGACAATTTGTTTTTATTCAGGTTCAAAACTTGTAGAAGTAAAAGTTTTGTATGAACCTACATTTCAAATAAAGACTAATTCCCATTATGCTGTTATATTTAAATATCAAAACACCTATTACAAACTGAGCAACTGCACTACTTATATTCAATTCAATTCACGAGGGAAAATAATCTACATGTTCATCTTTTATGTTTTATCAACAAGTGATTGAATAGTTTTCTCGGCACAAGTCCGTACGACGATTGAACACTTGGTGGCGCTAAATAGCCAATCGACCTGTCTCAAGATCATCTGATTCCTGACGATTTTTTTTGGATTTTTTATATTTGAACCAACTGAACCAAAATACACATAAATTCAAATCCAATTCAAGTTAATGAACTCAAATCACCTTTGATATTAAAACTCATTTACATGTATGCTTGTTTGATTAACAAATTTACAAAAAGAGGATTAACATTTTTCCTTTTTAAATATTTTTTTTAAACAAATTTGGTTCTATATATAGATTTAAATAATGTAAATACATTTAGGTACCTTTCAGTTTAAAATGTTACTGAATTATCATGAATGACATTGAAATGAATAAATAAATTCATGACTTCTACTTTAAGCACTTAAAGCAGATAAATAAGATCACATTTTAATGGCATCTTCATGGAACTTGCTTAACTTTTATATTATTCACATTTTGTTATGAGCCAAAAAATTACATTTATTCCAATGCTTTTTTTCTGCCCAATCGCCTTCTATTCTTTTAAGATTGGTCTCTGGAATTTAAACAATTAAAAAAAATCATGTTGTATTTTCATTCTTATATTGTGAGCTAAATTACCTCAATTTAAAATATCCTACATGAATTCTAGTCAGAAATTTGTTTAAACATTGCTATGTGACCAATTTGTGTTCAGGCCAGTGCCATCCTATGTATGCCTATCTATAGGTACAAGTAGCTATACAAACTACATTAATCATGCACTCTCATAGACATGTATTGATGCATATTCCATATGTTAAGCTGCCTGTTATTTATCTGCAATGTTTTATTTTAAAGAAGAATTTATCACAGGAAATTGACATCACAGTCATGCATGTCATAAGCAGAAGCTAGTAAATATCACCATTGAAATTTACTTGAAAATGTACAAATGTAACTTTCAAGTTATGCGCACTTGTTCTATGAACAGGGGAAATTCCAAAGTTCCCTTTGTATTTACTTTTGTGGAATTCATTGTTCACTAAACCTTTATACATATCTGCATATTGGATAATTGATCATGTAAATAATTTGTGGTTTCGGTTTGGGTTCTTAACTTCTTCATTTTAACGATCCGCCATTTATAACTGTAAACATCAAATACAAATTGCAATACATATTAATTACATGGGCATTCACTTAAAGTCATTAAAAAAAGAATGAGAGGCAAAAAAAATACTAGGTTCATATGAATGATAAGCCTACAACTGCAGCTCATTACTTGTAGTAACTGCATAATTCTACATATTAATACACAATAATACACTAAGATCTACTTTGATGTCATTGAAGAATAAAGATGATATTTAACATCAATAAGTTCATCACTAAAGATATTTGTAGATATTCCCCATCATAAAGATAATTCATAGATGCAGACATTAATTAAAATTAACAGATTAAGACTTACAGTTCATTGGTTTTCATGCTGCTCACTTGTGACTGCACAAGTTTCTTATTGCACTGTGTGTTTGCACTTTGGCATTTTGGCTTATGGTACCTGAGAGAGGCAGAGTTACTCCATGCCTTACCGCATTGATCACATACATAGGGCTTCTCACCTGTATGGATGCGTCTATGTCTTGTGAGATTAGGTTCTTGATTAAATGCCTTACCACATCGATCACATACATAGGGCTTCTCACCTGTATGGATTCGTTTATGTGATGTGAGAACATTCACCTGATTAAATGCCTTACCACATTGATCACATACATAGGGCTTCTCACCTGTATGGATGCGTTTATGTGTTGTGAGATTAGGTTCTTGATTAAATGCCTTACCACATTGATCACATACATAGGGCTTCTCACCTGTATGGATGCGTTTATGTGTTGTGAGACTATCTTCACGATTAAATGCCTTACCACATTGATCACATACATAGGGCTTCTCACCTTTATGGATGCGTTTATGTGCTATGAGATTACCTTCACGATTAAATGCCTTACCACATTGATCACATACATAGGGCTTCTCACCTGTATGGATTCGTTTATGTCTTGCGAGATTAGGTTCATGATCAAATGCCTTACCACATTGATCACATACACATGATTTCTTTGCTACATGATTCTCTTTATGTTTGACAAGATTATTATTAAATGCATTACCATATTTACCACAAACATTTGGCTTTTTATCTGTTTTAGTGATTTCAAGTTTATTAGGATGAATTTCATTAGTAAATGTTCCATCTCTACAAGTAGGTTTAATATTTTTTCTAATTTTATCATTTGACAAATCATTGCTGGCTTTATTTTTTGTATCACTACCCAAATTAATTGTCATCACTCTAATAACAGATTGAATAGGTTTTTGTATTTCTCCTTTGATGAACTGTAGAATGTCTTCCTTTGATGCACCTGCCCGTGGGACGATACCATAGTGTCCATGTTTGTACTTGAGATGCCTTGCTAAGACAAGCGGAATGGCGTAGAGTGATCCACAGTGCTCGCATCTATACAGGCCAGAATCTAAAAACAAGAAGAGATAATGAGATAAAGTATGTGAATAATGATAAGGTATGAAATGAAAGTCATAAATCAATTCAATTCAATTCATTCTATTTTCATATTTTTATAAAAAAAATCACGATAACAAACATTTACAATATAAAGTCAATTCAAACAAATAACACAACTTAACAGAAGTATCAAAATGGGGGGGGGGGGGGGAGGGGGAGAAACAAAGGTCAAAGTCCTATCAAAGGCTTGTCCCCAAACTATAAATATAATTAAATATAAATAAAGTGGTACAACAGGAAGACAGTAAAACAAGTCATACATACCACTTTACAGACTTAGAGGGTGTATGATTTAATAAGATTAGATTTATATATATATATATTTTTTTTTTAATAGATAAGGAAGGGCGATTCTTTATTTGGGACCCAAGACTATTCCACAATTTGGGACCAAAAAAAAAAATCAAAATCGCAATGTATTAAAACAGGTAAGTGATTGTTGTTGGGTCCTTTTTTTTAATGAGTTTGCTTTTCTTTTTCTTTGCATTGAACATCAACTTCTTCCTATTCAATATAAGCAAGGGAATCTTCATTTCACACATCTAAATGAAATTTGTATTGCTATTTCTCACAGAAAGTTTCCTAATAAAGTACCTGTTTCAATGTTGAGTTTATTGAGCTGCGATGTGATACCAAGATCCTTTGCATACTGCTCCCCATAGTAGACCAGTAGCTCCCTTCCTGGACAGATTGGTTTGAAGGTACGGTAGTAGATCTCACCAAGATACTGGAATGCTACAAGGTTCTGTTCACCCTCATTGCGTGCACAGTTGATGTATCGCATCCAGTTGCCTGTCTGCTCACTGTTGCTGTCAACATAGTGGTGAGGTTTACCTTCCGTGCATATCTAAGTACAAATGTAGACAAGAATGTAATTGCATTATATTTATGCATGAAAATGTTATATTAAATAATAATAGTGGATGCCCCAGCAAAACTATGTTGATATACAATCAATGTAAACATAAATATAACCATACTAAAAGTGCATCAAATGCTTAGAAGAAAAAAGGAACAATAAATGTATACTTTGGGGGGAATGGGGTCATTTGTGACATCGCAGTGTATGGACAATTTCATGGAAATAAATTGCATGTGAATTGTTGTTGAACTCAAGGTAATAATCTTCCCCTAAATCTGCCTTTTTCCAATAACCATATGTATTAACTTCTCAAAAGAAATGTGTACCATAATACAATTGAAGCAACTTTCATCAAAGCACAGTACAGCATCCCATCTTTTCTATTCAATTAATTTTTCATTACTGCCAAAACTACATGAGTAAGATTTGCTTTTAGAACAAATAAAATGCTCAAATTTAACACACATTATTTTTACATAATCATAAAGAATTGAAGATTAAATATACCTCCCAAGCATATCCGCTATCATATCCAGTCTCTAGGTCCACAATGTCACCATCGTATGGACCAAACCGGTATCCTTTAGGCATGAACTTGGTAGCAAAGATCCCCTGACCAGCCCCTGGTATTGATGACTGCTTGACCGCCAGACCATCAGGTAGAGTCTTCCTTGCTCTGTCTTTAGAGCCTTTAGGGACAATGTTGTCTTTGATGGTGGTAAGGGGATGCTTGGAACACTCACCTTCAAAGACCTCATGACAGTCCTCACAATCTGAAGGGGGGAAATAATGATTGAAATTCATTATCTATTGAACATCATTATCATTTGTGTTAGTTTCTAACAACCAGTTGTGTTTTCAAGGCTGCATGGAAGGAATTTTGTTTATTAACTAATTCACTTTGATTACATATGAAATATATGTGTTCATTTTGTAAAATGAATTCAGGAGTTTATTCCAAACTGATCCAAAATATTAGGGTAAGAGTAGTCCATGTAATAAAGAAATGATCTGAGAAATTCACTCTTGCCAAATTCAAATGCAACCACTTCATACACGGAGCTTCACAATAACCAGTCTTATGAATTTGAAGAATTCTGCACAAAAACGAAAAAATATACAAATGACTAACCAAAACAAATGAGAAACTAATAAAAACAAATACAAAACAAAGAAACATGATAACACAAAAATTATGTTTGTGTTTTTACTTACAGATGTAGTGATCATCATCAGGAACATCATCTTCTTTGTAAGACTTCCGGCTCACTGCTCTCCTTGGGTATCTAGATTGTCTGGGGGATGGGAGGGGTTTCTCCTTTCTCCTGTCTGAAATAAAAAATATGGACAAATTGATTTAATTTATTCCCAGCTTGTTGTTGAGTTTAGGTTGATACTTTTTTACCTGCCAGAGCTGGTATGAATTTCATGTAAATGTATTTTTACAATGTTTCCCTCAGTTTTATCCAGTTCCCTAAATCTTCAATTTTCATTGCACAGCCATCAAACTGATGATTGTTATCAGGACTGACACAGAGAATTAGAAGAGGATGGGGAAACAAAATATAGTTAGAGACTACAGTTTTAACCAGTACCTCTAAAAGAAGGCAGGGAATACTTGATTTATATCTTACATCAAAAATTGATAATCAAGCAAAATAAGTCACCATTATATTTGCTTCTGCCTCGTTTAACAAACAATGTTTCAAACATATTTACATTCTTTAATGTTAAATTCATCCACAACGGTTCCATTTTAATAGCTTTGCGGTGAATTTTATAACAAGTAGACCAAATTAAACATTGAAGAAGGATGTATAAATATCTTTAGCTGGCGCCATCTAGGTACTGCAGTAGTGTATTGCAGTTACTGCGGCTCAGCGTAAATTGCAGGCGTGAGGGACGTGCCAATGCGAGAGTTGTCCGAGACATTTAAAATCCCTCACGCTCGCTGAATTTTCAACTCCCAAGTAGAACTTTTTCAGTGCAACCTTAAAATAGCTGAAATATTTCTGGTCACGTGAAAAGCTCTCAGCCAATAAATATTAACACACTGAATCACCCTATCCAGCTTTCATTCAACTGGAAAAGAAAAATAAATATCACGAAAATCAAATCTGGAAGAAAGAGTTAATGTTTTCTTACCAGACAGAGACTTTGCCTTTCCACCCACTTTCATACAGAATGATCGGGTTTGCTTGGGAGTCGGGTCACCTATTGTAGCTACTCCTGTCAATGTTTGCTCAGTCTTCTGGTCACCTGACTGAGTGTTGGGATCACCTGACTGGTTTCCCTGATCACCTGATGAAGCTGTTGGATTGGTTTGTGGTTGGGTGGATTCATCATAGTCCTTCCATTCAAGGAGATCAATGATTCGCTCTCCCCCTATATGATGAGCATCATTGAGTGGATTGCCATCATCATCATACACAGTCCCTGATGTTACAGTGTGCTAAATGATAAAGAATAAACAGAATATGAATGTGTTCATGTACTCCTCTGGCAGTCACGCTTCTAATTTCTCTCTCTCTCTCTTCCTCAATCTCTGTAGTTTCATATTATTTCCTATTTCCTACAATGTAATGCGATAAATAAGAAGGTCATCTTCTTAACAGAGGCAGTATACAATGACAGGAAAACAAGTATTTAAAATTTAAAAAAGTGTTATTCACTATTTCAGTATTTATAGTTACATATATTTATATGACAGGACTCTCACAAATATCTTGATTACTTACTTAAAAGCAAACAGTGACTATTAGATGTATGCAGTGATTATCAGGACTAAACATCAGATTGATCAGATAATATGTACAGTACATGTACTTGTGGATACTTACTGGCTTAGGTTCGGGCTGTTTCTTTGTGATAACTGGTTTGTTTGATTTGACTGCAGGGGCCTTGAAAGGTGTGCTGAAAGTTCCTGTTTGTATTGTAAAAATAATAGAAATTTAGGGATAGTAAAAAAAAATTAAAAATCATTGTGTTATCAGTACTTACACATCTTCAGTAGATAGCGAAACCCCAAAGAGCTATTTGAAGTAAAATTTTAAAGATTAATAAAATGTCCTTATTTTTTTTTATTTCAGTGGTAACGATAGTACAGAAAATACACAAAATAAAAGAATGGTCACTGTTTCACTCCTACTGAAATATTTTTTTTAAGAAGCAAAGCAAACAAAAATTAGAGCTGTTGTACGCAGGAATTTAAAGGTCAATGAAATGTCATTTAAATACATGTATCCTATTTGAGTAGTAAAGATTGTACAGGAAGTACACAAAATAAAAGTAAGATCACTGTCAAGTTAATACTTACTTTTCTTCATTAAATAGCATAGCAAAATACACATAAAAAGGTAAAGGTTTTTAGATTGAAAAGTATATTCAGCGTTCCTGTATCTATATACATTGTACTGTATGTAGCAGGAAAAACGAATGAATTCAATCAATTTTTTTTTTTTAAAGTGTCACCAGTAGGCCCAAATGTATCTTCATTCGAAAGCACAAAACAAACAAAAAATTTAAATGGGCTAAAACTGAACAAGTATTTAAATGACATTAAATGATTATTTGAGTTGTAAAGATATAATTAGAATTGTAAAGTGAAGAGAATAAACTATATTTTCGCAGAAACACCAATGAAACGTTCCAAAACTATTTTTTTAATGGTAAAGGTCAAGGCTCAAAATACATGATGCGACGGACAAATCGCCCCCGTGAACTACATAATCGTCTCCGTCAGATTGCTCACGGGGGCGGTTGCGAAATTGAAAATCCTGTGGAATTATAAAATTATAGACTCTGTTATAACTTTCACACGATATAGAGTTTCAATGTTAAAACCTTGAACGAGTGAAATGGAACTATATGGAAGTTAGATAAGCGTGCAGGATTTGTCACTCAGTTTTTACGGTGTCTTGAGGCCACCATATTGTAAACAAATGTACGCTTATTCACCGGTAGACGGCGCTATATCTCCCATCTCCAAATATACTGATACAAACGACGTATTAAAGCTCGCAGTGCAGTGCGGCCGTCGGCAGTGGGCATACTGCACCGGTAGTACTGCTGGAGCTAGAGGCGATCATGCAAGGACCGGAAAATGGAGAAGATTTTTGTTGTGAAAGGGTGAATCCTCTGAAATCTGGTGATTCCAAAAGACCAGCAAATAATGAACCTCGACCAGTAAATCAAAATTGAGAAGAGGAAGACCAAATATGTTGTTGAAAGGATATAGTAAAGACTAAAGAAAGAATGTAGTCTAAATATGGTTGCTCTGAATGATTAGGAAGAAATAGAAATGGAGAGAATGTCATGATGGGATGAAAGTCAGTAACCCCTATGTTATGGGAAAATGTCGGCTTATATAAATGATGATGAAATAGCAAAGAATTTAGGAGTTATCATGCCTACAAATTCAATGGAAATTTGTATTTTAAAAAAAGAGCCCCTGTTAGTAGGCCTACTTCACTACCAGCTCATCTCCAATTAAAACCACAACATTAAAAATATTTGTGAACGGTTAAAGAGCTGTTGAATGCAGGTTGTGAAAAGATCCTGTTCGGAGAGAGAAGATGAAATAAGACTGATCTTCTGGCCCTAACATTCTGCTTCATTTCATGCAAGAACATGTTAATGATTAATCAGTGTAAAGTGAGTAACAGATGAATTAATGTCAAATTATCAGGCTTAAAAAGTTATATAGAATGAAAATGTTAGATTCAAGCATTTTTTCGTTCTCACAATGTTATAGACTTCAGGCAAAAATCTGTTGAAATATTTGTTCATCAATAGATACCTGTTTGACTTTTTCTTGGCTTTTTGAGGCTTACACTTCATAATTTTTAATATTACTCCTCTACAATCTTAAGAAATTCAGGTGCAATTTCATAATGTGCAGAGTTTGTTTGTGAATAATTCAGATAGATAAATAGGTACAAACCTCTTGACTTTTTCTTGGCCCTCTTTGGCTTCCACTCCTCATCCTCACTATCACTCTCCTCTACAAGCTGTTTCTTTCTTCCACGACGAGGTCGCATGAAATCTGGGGGACTAACCTTTAGTCCTGTGTACACAATGAAAATCGAATAAAATGACACCACTGTTAATATGCAAATTAAATAATCAAATTTTTATCTCCTATTGTTAGGGGGAGGGAGGGGGGTATTTGGGGGGGGGGGGGGTATTGGAGGTGGAAATCAATGTCAGTTAAAATGCAGCATTTAGACTTTCTTGACTTTCTTTGCACAAACTGTACATTACATATTTGAATTGCACATCTCTAGTTGTTTTCTTTTTTTGTGCCTTTTCTTTCTCGATACGAAACCTGTTATACAAAAAGACTACTTTATTTAACTTGCCATTCATGAATCCATGTAAAATTTTCGGAAGAAAATAACAAGTTTTCTTTTGCCATTAAACACTATATCCACCATACCTTTGCAATTGCATACAAAAATAAAGCCAAATATCTAAAAACAAAAGGTTTAAAGTTTAAACTATGTACGTATGAGAACAAGTCTTAGAGTTGAACATGTAGTATGTACTGTAGTGATGTACAAACTTAGCAAAGGTAGAAATCCCTACAGGCTACCCATCATACATTATAAGTGTTTTACAATTAAGCAAGATTTGTAGGTAACATAATTAATGTTACTCACCAACTTCAATCATCATCTCATAATTTTCTTTG